GATTGTTCCCAATTGGATTGGAAGAGTGAAAGCCGGCAGTGGAGAGTTTCACCCCAGGGCACAGAGTGGGGAAATGTCAGACTTGGGATTCACCCCAAGTTCTGACTCCATGTCTTATGCTGTTTAAAAACAAAGTCTTTTCAACACCTGGGGAAGGAGACCATATTTTAAGAAAACCAACCCCATTCTCCCCTGTGCAAGCCTGACTTTTTGCCTCCCTGTGACTAATATGGAAAAGCATCAGCATTTCGATCCCCTCCTACCCCTGGAGGCACTGGCTCTGCCCTCTGTGGGAGCCCCAATAAGTCCTGAGTCCTCAGCCCAGCACCCACCCGGGATTAAATGTTCTTCTGGGAGGTGACTAGGCTGGCCTTCAGGACCTGAGTCCTGCCACCATCCCACCCTGGCTTTACTAGAGCACCAGGACCCTCCACAGTGGGCCACCTGCCTGCTGCGGGCGGGAAAGCTCAAGCAGGTGGTGGATCGCCCTAGTGATGTCAAGTGAGCAAAGCAGGGCCAGGCCACCACTTCCAAGGACTTTGGGAGCAAATGACTGGCTTACCATATTTTTTTCCAAAGGACAGCTCATACCTGGTCACTTCTGAAAGACTGTGCCTCAGCCTGTGCCTGAAGACTGAGCAACTGAATTCCCATGAGGGAGTCATCCTAAAACGTGGGCTACAGCACCCACCCACTGATCACACCCTTGGGCATGAAACTTGCTTCACCTTCCATCAAGAAGTGCCGGCTCCCCGCCCCATCCCAGCTGACCTGGTGATGTGCTTTGGCCAATGAATGGGCAGAAGTCATGGAGTGCCAGTTCCAAGCCCTTGCTCACTCTTGGGGCTTTTCCCAGTCCCGATGTAAACATGCCAGGGCTAGCCCATGGGGATGAGGAAACTGTGGGGAGAGACAAACCATTGTAACCCAATGTCATCCCAAACCAGCACTCCCAGCCCACAGCTCCACTGTAGACTCCAGGGCTCTGTGAAGCTGTTCTTGTTTTAAACCTGAGCTTACACATTCATTAAAACATTACAGGGGTAAAATGTGTAATAATAATAATAAAGATCATATAAAATCAGTCAGTGAACTTGGGGGTGAATGATCGTGGATCAGCAGCTGATACAGATATGGTGCTGGGAAGGGTCTCACGGTAGGCTATGCTTGCTAAGCTCTGCTGAGTGGCGGGTCCTTGCACACTGTTCCTCATTTCATCTTTACAGCCCGAAACTTCCTTTTATTGAGTATTTCTTGGTGTTAGGTACTGAACTTCATATACACGTTAGAATATAATCCCTGTACTCACCATATGAGATATGTCTTATCATTTCCACCCTGTAGGTAAAGAAATTGAGTCTCAGAGTTTAGGTGAATTGACTGAGCTCATAGTTACTAGCTGAAATGTGGCTCTCAGTTCTGCCCTATTGTCATACCTATGTTTTCTACTCCTGGGCTTCTACTTCCCTGTAGCTTTCTAAAGGGACACTTTTATATCTTATTTTCAGAGAAGGACTCAAGTTCTGGGGACATTAAATAATTTGCCTAAGAATGCTCAATTAATAAATGAAAGAATTGAGTTTTCAACCTCGGACTCCCTGACTCCAAAACCCAAATTCACTGACATTCCTTATTAAGAAGTATGTCCTAAATGGAGAAGAACATGTTTGTATCCACGTTATTTCTTTGTTTGAGAAACATGCTCTGTTCTGTTTGAATGTTTTAAAAGCCCATGTTTTGCAAACCCCAAGTTGTAACAGAAAGCAGGTTGTAGAGGAACTGGTGAGAGTTATTGCCCAGAAAAACCAGCTGGGAAGCATTTCAGTGTCAATCTTATTATTGCTTTTAAATTAACAGTGACTTCAAAACCCTTTGAAGTAGCTGGCAGGGAATGCCTAGATCGGGAAAAACAATCACTACGGGGTATTCTCAGCAGGCGTGTGCTTTAAAATGTTCCTTCTCTTATGCCTTGGCACCAGGAAAGTTGGAGAGGAGGTGGAAGGATCTTAGCAGGAAGCTCCTAGCTGACATGGGTTGCCAGGAAGACCCAATTAGCCTGTTCCTCGCAGTAGCAAAAGCCCAGGCAGAAGGAATGAATTATTTGTGTCAGTGGCTGGAGCTGCTGACAACTTCAGAGACCACCCGTGTGGTCTTTCCATGTCAAGCTGACTGTGGGCCCTGTGAGGCTCTGACACTAGGGGTCTGATGGATTCCAACTTGAGAGTGGAACTAAGTTAAACTTCATAGTGGTTCATAACACCTGACAAAGTGTCAAGACATTCCTGAGTCCCATCCTGAACTTCTGTCTAAATACCTGCACTGGACAATGTCTAGGACTCTGTTTGGAGAATACTTTTATTTAAAACTGTTGACATGTCCTGGAACTTCTTTCTCTTCCAATAGAGCTTACCCTTCTGTCTCTCCATCCATCCACTCATATACCCATCCATCCAGCCATCCAGCCAGCCAGTTGGCCAGCCAGCCTGGGATACCATCCCACTAGGTACTTGATGTTACCAGACACAGGTGCCACTGATCCTCAGGAAGTCAAGGTATGCTCTTCCACATGATGTTGAAGTCTTGTGAAGAGTACAGAGGGCACCAGTGAGTACACCAAGAATGTGCAGGGGGTGCCAACCCAGCAGGGATGTCATGATAATGTTGGAAAATAATCTGATATTTTTGCACAAATACACACTGATAATTAATATGAAAAAATCACCACCTGTTTGAACTTCCTTATATATGATTATGCTTTAGGGGTGTTTTTATATTGAATTACTTCTTAAGAGGAATTGTCATTTTATGGAAGGCTCGGGGCCTCAAAAAGTCACACTTTGTCCTTGTACACAGGAAAAAGAAAATATTTATCTGTGTGCTCTGATAAGGAATGCTTGTGAGCCTTGAAATGAGAAGTATATGCAGGTATATGTATATGCGTGTATTTTCTGCACTAGTGTGTGTGTGTGTGTGTGTGTGTGTGTGTGGTCAAGGAATCACAGTGGAGAAAAAAACTACTCATTCACTATTGTCTGCTCTCCGAAGACCTAGGCCATGCTTCATTTCTAGATTCTGCTTTATTTAACCATCTGTATCCACTCAGCTGGTGCTGTAGGTCCTGCCCCTCCCACATCCTGTTGGCAGCCTGACAGACAGGGTGGCCAATGGTGTCCTACTGCAAGCATTTGTCTGCCTGAGAGGATGTTCTGCATCAGAGGCAGAAAAACCAGAAGTGCATGTCCTAGAGGTGCCCAGCTGGGACTGAGCCCTGCAGCATGAAGACAGTCTCTTGACCTCCCTCCCTGCCCAATCTCTGTTGCCCACTCAAGTTGCCCTGGATTGCCTCCCCGTAACCATCTTGAGCAGCTGTTGTGGTCTCACAGTTTACTTTTAGAGGATTACACCCATTCCCCTCAGTGCAGGGCGGGGTCCAGAACAAAGCCTGGAACAGTGTTGGATTTAATATTAAGCAAATGAATGAATGAATGAATAAATGGAGGTGACTGATAGTCATATTCTCTGAGTGTTTTTATTCATCCCAAATGCATCTCCAAACAAATGGCATTCTGAAGAAGAAAAAGAAAACCTGTTTGAAGAGTACCTGCGGGGAATGGGGACACCGGGCCAAAGATGAGGCCAAGCTGTGTGACAGCCTCTCCCCTTCGCTAACCTGGACCGGCCTCCCCACCCTGCCCTCAAAGACACAGATAAAAGCCTGCCTGCCTTCATGACACTTTTGATCAGATTCACAGGCTTCATGGAGAATGAATTCTGCAGATAAAGACTAAGGAGACCTGACAAGTCCTGCACAGGTCTTAGAAAAGTATTGACCTCCATTTATTGATTTATCCAATTTAAACAATTAATTTATTTGTAGATGCACATTCACTCAGTAATTTACTTACCCATGAATTTGGCCACTCTGTAATTGGCTTACCCCCTCCCTCTTTGGCTGACTCTTGTGCAGAGAGACTGGTCCTTAAGTTCATGATCCCTGGAGACAGAATGCCTGGGTTGGTGTCCTGGGCTCATTACTTAACCTCCCTGTGCCTCACTTTCCTCCTATATGAAATGGGGATAAAGTTACCCCCTTGCTGAGAAGGTTATGCGTACTACTGTGCATGCAAGAGCTCAGGACAACGCCCGCCCTTATCATTATAACAACAGTAGTGACCCTTATCCTGTGTCTTTGAATCCACCAGTCTGTGCTGGAGATTGTTCATGCCTTCATTTTCTGTTTCACTTCTTTTCGTATTTCTAGTTTTCCTCTCTACAACAGAAGGCCACATCAACATGGGGGTGCTTGGTGTTCAACTTTCAAATTGATACTGAAATTTTTAATTCTCACACATCTCTATTCTGACTATTTCCCCAAATAGGATGAACTCCTAATTTGGCAGCATGGGTCCTATGTGCCATTTCAATTTCCTTTGGGAGCTGCTCACCCGGGGGGCTCCAAGCCCTGCTTTAGCTTCGTGGTCTCCCTAATCCAAGCTGTGCTTAGACTCCTGACCTGCAGAATCTGTTAGAAAATGAATATTTATTGCAATAAGCTGCTTAGTTTGGGGTGATTTTTATGCAACAACAGGTAACTAATACACCAGTACCCTGAAATTTTGCTTTCTTCTGTCTTAGTGGTATAGCCTCGATAAGTATATGGTCTATGTTTCAACTTCTAGCAGGCAATAGGCTGGCCAATGATATTGCCACTGTATAGCATGGGACACCAGCTTTCTTGCCTGCAACATCCTACTGAATATCTGCCTCTAGCATCTTATTTCATAGTGGCACAATTTAGATTATATGTTTTGTAGTATCTCTCCTATAGGAAGTAAATATTAGGTCCAGTTGCATCTAACAGAAACTTTTAGTTGAGTGGGATGGACATGCAAGAAAGAAGCTTGTTTTAGTGTCCTATGAAGAAAGTATGGCAGGGGATAGCTTGGAACTGCTCCAGGGGCTCTACATTTATCAGTGTCATGTCTCCTTTCTACTCCTAGAGCATGGAACTCATCCTCAGCACCACTTCATGGCCCAGAATGGTTGCTGTGGGTGCATCTGTCACATGCCCATTCCAAGCCCCAGGATAAAGCAGGTAAGCAGGTCCTCTGCACTGAGTTGACACCCTAATGACTCTTGCCCCAGGTGTTTTCCATGGGTAATTATGTAACAGACAAAGGGTATTTAAAAAACAGGAGGCCGTGTAAGCCACCTCCTCCAATGTTTCCCAAACCTATTTTCATTCTACCTTCATGTTTTTTGCTATATATGATGCCATTTATCCTAGTGATTGCTTTATAATCCTGTAGTGAATTGGATAGTGAAAAGGCATTTCTTTACATTTTTATACCATCTCTACTAGCTTTATAAAATGTGTTCTTAAGTGAAGTTACTTTTTAAAACTTAAATAACTATATCTAAAGTTAAATATTGTTACCTTCAATTAGAAAACAATGCTTTCCATGAAAGGGATGGAAAAATAAATAAAATTAAATAAAAATTATAAAATCCATGTTGCCAAAAATGACAGGACTTCATTCCTTCTTATGGATGAATAGCATTTCATCGTGCACCACAGTTTCTTCTTGATACTTTGGTTGTTTCTATGCTTTAGATTTTATGAACAGTATTGCAAAAACCAAGGAGAGCAGAAGTCTCTTTGACACACTGATTTCATTTCTGTTGGATTTACATGGCATCTAAAACTGTTAATCACTCAGGAAGTTGAGATTGGTGGTTACCAAAGCCTGGGGAGATTAGGGGAGAGAGAGGTGGGGAAATGTCCATCAGAGGAGACTGTGTTACAGCTAGAGAGGAGCAAGAAGTTGTGGTGAGCTATTGCACACTAAGGAGATTTTATATAACAGAAACATGATGTACATTTCAAAAGAGTAGAGAAAATGATTTGGAAAGTTTTAACATAGAGAAATGATGAGAGTTTGGGGAAACAGATATGTTTAACTTGGTTTAAACATTACACGATATATGCATATATAAAAACAACACGTTTTATGCCTGTATGCCTATCACTTTAAAATAAACATAATTAGAAGCTGTTTAAAAGACCTGTTTATAATCGGGTACCAAATCTTGATGACCTTTATAGACTGGATGTATGTAACTTGCTTTTGATCCTTATAGGGGCTCATGCAGAGAGTTTGCCTTGAGTCTCAGAGGAGCCTTTGAACTAGGATTTCAGGGAAATGATGGAATTGTTAAGACTGTGGGTACTCTTGAAAATGTACTAAGTACATTTCCCATTGCATTTGGGGGCCAGAGGCAAAATGTTATGGTTTAGATATTAGTTGTTCCCCAAAAGCTCATGTGTGAGATAGTACAAGAAAGTTTATAAGTGAAATGATTGGATTGTAAATTTTAACCTAATCAGTGCATTAGTCACCTGATAAGCATTAACTGAGTGATAACTATAGGCAGGTAGGGTGTGGCTGGGGGTGGTGGGTCATTGGGATGTGCCCTTTGGGTTTATATTTTTTTTCCTGGTGAGAAGAGAATCTCTCTCTGTTTCCTGGTGCTATGTCCTGAGCCTCTTTCCTGCACCACATTCTTTCTCCATGATGTCATGCAGCACCTTGGTCCCAGAGCGATGGAGTCAGCTGTCTATGGATTCAGACCTCTGAAATATGGATTCAGACCTCTGAAACCATAAGCCCTGAATAAACTTTTCCTCTGCTTATTAAAAAAAGCTACTTCAAAATTGTACATAGACCCTGTATCAGCCAAACCTTAGAGACAGTCGCTGTCCTGCTCTCCTCTCTGTTCAAAATGAAGATGGCATGCTTCACATTGGAGCAATGTCCTGGATGACCCAGAAGGATGTCAAGGAGAAATTTTCCAGGCATGGTGAGGAGAAAGAATTGCAAGTTTGAGGCCAGCCTCAGCAACTTACTGAGGCCTTGTCTCAAAATTAAAATAAAATGAAATAAAATTAAATTAAAAAAATGACTGGGGATGTAGTTCACTGGTAAAGCACTCCCTGGGTTTAGTCCCTAGGACAGAAAAAAAAAGTGTAACTTTCTTGTTACCTATTAAATATAATTTAATGTCTTAAGTTGTCCACCAGCTAAATTTTCTTAATTCACTAGAGATCTGCAGTGTGCACTTGGGATACTCTGGGACATTCTTTTGACCCACGAGGTAACCAGTTTTCCAGAGGCCCCATAACATCTTCTGGTTGCCCTTGGTTCTTTGTAACGTTTGCAAAGAATTCATTACCTGACCCTACCGTCAATTGTTTGGATCTATATCCACCTATTAGACTGTGAGCTCTCAGGCTGAACTTGATTAATCCTGGTTCCTAGGCAAGTTGGTGCCTGCCCAGAACCAATGCATGTAGTGGACTGAGGTAAACGAGAGTTGCAAGGATGTAGAGTTTGGGTGCAGAGTTGGAGCCAAGACTGGTATTTTCTGGGTCTTCCTTCATGTTGCTTTCCAAGTCAGGGCTCTAGAGAAAGAGGCCAGTTTAGTTCCAAGTGCAGAGAGCAAAGGGATTTAAAATAAAATTCTGCATTTTATTTTTTAAAACAAAATTACTTGTGCTCTTTTTTTTAATAATAAAAGACTGTGTCTATAATAGGAGAAAAATAAGCAATGATTCAAAATGGAACCTCTGGGAAGTTATTTGGATGACGATGACAGTCCTAATGAGAATAGCTGTCACTGATTGGGCATTGTCTGTAGAGCAAGCGTGCTCCTAAGTAGCAGGATTTTCTCATGAGCTAGACATCATCACTATTCTCACTTTCTTCACAGGAAACTGAGGTTCCCACAAGAAATGACAGCCAGTGAGTGATGTCCGCATGAGACTTGTGTGCCTATCCAGGTCCTCTTGGCCTCCTCTGGCTGTCGTTCCAGGGGCTGCCTTAACACCCAGCTCAGCATGAGTTCCACAAACCTCAGGCAGATGTGACCTGAGAGCACCTCGTCCAGCACCCCTCACAGCCTGACCTGTTGCCTCCCGTCCTGGGCTTCCCTGTGACCTCAACTCCACAGTGTCTGTTGCCACTTGTGCATGCCCAGGCCATAAGAACTGGAGGATTAATGCTCCACTGTGCAAAACTTTCATCAGTGGGAGACAGATCCAGGTGACTGATTCTTTCCCATTTCTTTCCCTGGATGGACTGGGCAGAGATGCATTTAAAATACTTTCTTCAAGGACAGTTTCAATTAGTTGCACCTTGAGGAAGACAAATTGATAATACATTTTTAAAATTGATACATAATAATTGTGTATATTTATGGGGCAGAGTGTTATTTCAATACACATGTACAATGTGTAACAAAGTAGGGACATTAGCAGATATATGACCTCAAATCTGTAAACCTGTGTATTGGGAACATTCAGGATCATTTCTTGTAGCTATTCTGAAGATACAATACATTATTTTTTACTATAGTTACTCTATAGTGTTGTAGAACACCAGAGTTTTCTTTTATCTAGCTACATTTTTGTACTCATTAACCAACCTCTCTCTACTACCATCCTACTCTTACCAAACTTTGATGACTACTATTCTCTCCTTCTATGAGATCAATCTTAGTATCCACATATAAGCAAGAATATGAGGTATTTGTCTTTCTGCGCCTAGGATATTTTGTCTTCCAATTCCATCTTTTTTTTTTTTTTTGCAAGTGACAAGCTTCTGTTTTTTTTGTGGATGAATAATATCCATTGCATAGATGAAGCAAATTTCCTTTATCTATTCACACATCAATGAGCACCTCGGTGGGTCCCATGTCTTGGGTATTGTGAACAGTGCCCAGTAAGCAAGGCTGATATAATTTCCTTTGGATATGTACCTATAAATGGGATAGCTGCAACATACGGTAGTTTTACTTTTAGTGTTTTGAGGATATGTATGGAAGTCAAGAGTGAAAAACAATGATAATAATAGCCTAGTTAAAAATGAGCTCAGTCACACTGATCATCAGGGAAATGCAAACCAAACCGCAATGAGATGTCATCTCATCCTCATCAGAATGGATATAATCAAAAATATAAAAATAACACATGTTGGAAAGAATGCAGAGAAAGGGGAATTCATTTACTGTCAGTGGGAATGTAAATTAGTTTAGATTTTATAGGACACATATAATACACCTTTTATCAGATCCCATTCCTTTACTATTTCTCCCTCCTTTTTTCCCACTCTGGCTCTGAGAGATACTTAATAGAACCATCATATGGGTCTTTACCTTGGGCCTGCTTTCCAGGCTCTGGCAGCCCAGGCCTATCTGATCACAGCAAGACACACGACACATGTTCTCACTCATATTAAGACACCAAAAATGAATTTTTTAAAAGTAGAGGGTAAAACAGTAGTCATGAGAGGCTAGAAAGGATGCAGGGAGCAAGTATAAAGGTAATTTGGATAAAATGGATATCAAAATACAGTTAGATAGGAGGAATTAGTTCTCGTGTTCTATAGTATCACAGGAGAGCAACGACAATTTATGAACTTATTGTATAAAGGGCTAAAAGAGGTGGTTCTTAGACCCCCAATACAAAGAGAGAATAAAAATGTTTAAGGAGATGTAATCACTAATTACCCTGATTTAATCATTACACATTATATACACGTATCAAATCATCACAGTCAATAAATATGTAAACATGTATAATTATTAATTGCATACATGTGTACACACACACACACACACACACACACACACACACACTTAGGGTGGTCTTTCCCCCAGGTGTGATACCCACAATACCCACAGCCTTTCGCTGCCTTGGAGATCTGTCCCTTCCCATTCCCATTCCCTACCTCACATGCTGGTTTTGAGTTCTGTTAATGAGCCAGCCATACTCAGGGCTCTCCTTCAAAGGTACTTGTTCTCTCTCTTCAGGATGCTCTGCTGCTACCTTGTTATGGTTTGGATATGGAAAAGCTCACCTGTGAGACAATGAAAGAAGGTTCAAGAGAAGAAATGATGTGGTTATAAGAACCTTAACCCAATCAGTGAATTAATCCCCTCATGAGATTAACTGAGTGGAAACTGCAGGCGGGTAGCGTGTGGCTGGAGGAGGTGGACATTGAGGGGTGTGCCTTTGTATCTTGTATCTGGAGGGTGGAGTCTCTCTCTGCTTTCTAATAGTCATGTGAGCTGCTTCCCTCCACCACACTCTTCTGCCATGATGTTCACCTTCACCTCAAACCCCAAGGAATGGGGCTGGCTGTTTGTGACATGAAGCCTCTGAAACTGTGAGTCCCCAAATAAATTCCTTCTCAAAAATTGTTCTGGTCAGGTCTTTCAGTCATAGCAGCAAAACGTTGACTAAAGCCTGCCTCTTCCTCTCTACCCCTTTCCTGCTTCTTTTCATGACTAACTCCTACTCATCTTTCAGAATTCAGTCCCCCTTCTCCAAGGCCCCCTCTTCCCATGGTCCCCAGAGGTATTAGGGCTTGATTTCCTGTACTTGACTCTGCTGTGCCTGCTCCACTATCTGCTCCCTGTGACATTGGGGTGGTGCCCACTGACATTGGTGTTGCCTGGGGTACTGGGTTCGTTGTGTCTGTTCAGCAAATAATTGAAGAAGAGGATAGAGATACCAATCAAGCCGAGGTTTACTGAAAAAGTGACAGAGATACAAAGACAGACTTCCCCAAAGAGAAGGGGTCCCAGAGCTGGGAAGCCTGTGGGGGGGTTTTGACCTGTTCTTTTTATGGTCTCTGGAATTTCCCCCTCCCATCTCCTCCTCTATCCACGGGCTCCTAATAATTGATGGGTGTCCCCTTTGTCCATGCATCTGTTTTAGTTTTTCTATTGGATCACCCACTTAGGAGCGTGAGTAGAGAAGTGTCTGTCTGATTGAGTTCCTCCACTTAAGCACTTTCATCAAGCAGCAAGGTGACCTATCAGAAGACCCTTGCCCCGCTCTGTTGTTCTGGCCCTCCCCAGACTGCCTCACTTGCCATCTTGACCTGGTTGCCTAAGCCCTTCTATATCTCCTCTCAACACCCTTGACCATGATGTGAGCTGGGGTCTGGCTGCAGTCCCTGCTAAACCTAAGTGACTCAGGTCCAGTCCTTCTTGATGCCCACTGCCATAGCCTTCTCAACAAGTCAATCCCCAGCTCTGACCTTCAGTTCCCTAATCTGTGAAGAGCTTTGATATAGGGTTCTTTTAGGGATCAAATGACATAAAATATATTTTGAATTTAGTGAAAAATCAATAAATGTTAGTTATTCTCATTAACAATAGAATGATTTATTATTTTTTAAATGAGTAGATAGAAAAGGAATGAGGCAGAGATGTTAGACTAATCGTCACCTAGACGTGAATATAAGTTGAGTGAATACCTCCAACATTTAGAGACTTCTGGGGCTCTCTGCAGGCCCCACAAACTAAGTCAGTCTACACCCAATTTTATTGGGCACCCACCATATAATAGGCAAAGCACACAGGGTGCCTGTCCTCAGAGCATTGTTGTCCAGCAAAGCTATGATGCAAAAATCTGTGATCTTTTTCCATGACTACATTCTCTTCCATCTTGAGGATAAATGCATTTATTTCTTCAACAATATATGTTTTATGAACATAGTATGATCCCAGCCCTGTCCAAGTGATGGAAATATAGCAATAAATTTTCACTTGATTTTTTTTTTTTTTTGGTACTGAGGATTGAACTCAGAGGCCCTTGACCACTGAGCCACATCCCCAGCTCTATTTTGTATTTTATTTAGAGACAAGGTCTCACTGAGTTGCTTAGGCTGGCTTTGAAATCGAGATCCTCCTGTCTCAGCCTCCCTAGCTGCTGGGATACAGGCATGAGCCATACCTGATCTTTTGAAGTTTACTCGCCCTGGGAAAGATAGATCAATATCCACAAAGAAACAAATAGCCAGGAGGGAGGAAAAGTGAATCTTTAACCCACGGACAAAGGATTTGAGGAAGAGAGGACAAACCAATGTGAGGCATGGAGGTGTGAGAGAACACAGTGCTGTTTTGACCTGGAGTCTACCAGCCAGGTGACACAGCCAGGTGACAGCATAGAGTCCAGAGGAGAGACATGGTCAAAACTCAAGGAACAGGCTGGGAACAGAATGAATGCCAAAAATTGTCCGAGAATGAGGATGCTTTTCCATCACAGAATCGAACTGTACAGCACAGGACTGAAGAGGAGATGGCCCTGGAGGGACTGGACCCAAAGTTAGGAAGTCACTCTGACTTTCTGTCTTATATCTCAGCCTCCCTCAGAGTGTTGGCATTTTCCTTTCTTATTGCAAAGATGGAATGAGGAATTCCTGAGCTGGGAGGAACATAATCGTGAATAAATCCGGTACCATTTCACTCCATCCTGATGAGTTGAAATGAAGAGGAACACATTGGCTAAAATGAATAAATAAACAAATAAACACCCGCAAGCTTTGTTTGGGTTAGTGGTTTTCCTAGATCACCAATCCCCGCGACCAGAAAATGGGGACATCTGATAAGCTCAACCTGGGTTGCAATCCACTTGCATCTGGTGAAGGCAGGATTTAACGAAGAAAAGGGGATGAAAGAAAACCATACAACCTAGACCCAGACCCAATGACATCCCCGGGGCCTGGGACGCCACACTGAGGAGCTGGGGTTGGATCTGAGGGAGGCAGAATGTGTGGTTAGAAGGGGTACGCCAGGTGCTGGGTGGAGAGGGGGCTGAGTGGGCGGGTGGGTAGGAAGCTGGAGACCCCTGCAATTCTAATGCCACAGTCCAGGGAAGGCTTAGAAGGGGAGTGGTGGGAATGTGGGTGGAGAAGGGAAGAACAAAGGACTGCTGTTCCCTTCCAGGTCCCAGTGGGAAGCAGACGGAAAGCACTGACCAGGGCCTTGGCCTCTGTTGATGAGGTCTTCAACAAGTCATTCCAGCTCAGCCATGGGCCGCCATGACTTTCTAAGTGCCAGATTCGGGGCAAGGTGCCATTCAGGTGAAAATAGTTCAATGGAACAAATCTTTATTGGACTCCTATGATGTGTCATGTCCCAGGTATTTGTATTGAACAAGATGAACATAACAAGTCTCTTTCCCTCACCCCAAGTCTGAATGATTGTCCTGTTTTTGTAGAGCACATGCTTGACCTCCAACCCTCCTCTCCTCCATCTTTCCCGTGGGGCCGTCAGGTAGCGGGAAAGCCTGCTTGTCTCCATTTGCGAATGTTGTGGGAGCAGGGAGGAGAGAATCATGCGCTGGATGAATAGGGATAGCCCCCTTCAGGTCTGTCCATTCCAATCTCCTAAACCCACAGGTCTTGGATCTTTTCCCTGCCCCAGGAGCTCAGGGACTCCCCAAGGTCACAGTGGGCATGTGGAGCAGCAGGCTCTCTGAGCAGTGTGCACCGATGTTTGTGGTGTGAATATTCTCAGCATGGCAGATTTCTAACTGTCAGCCTGATGCCACTGAGTGCAAGCAGGGAAGAGAGGTGTGTGCACATGGGGCTCTCTTGGGCTGAGAGTTCAGTGGCCTCATCAGCCAGGCCACAGCCTGGGCCTGGTGACAGGGTAGAAATCCATCTTCTTGCAGTCTGGTCTGCAGGGCCTGTTTATGGGTTGAATTGTGTCCCCTACAAAAGATATGTTGAAGTCCTAAAATCAAGTCTCTCAGGAGGTTATAATATGTGTACATGGGGTCGTCCTTAGATGTAGTTGC